GTAGAGAAAGAGGAGGAGAAGGATCTATAGAGAGAGTATCTTTTATATATAAAGAAGTATTATTATAAGGAGTGATTAGCGTCTACATCCTAGGGTGTTATTATTAGCTCTTTATAGCTAGTCTCTTTTCTTTAGTAAACTTTATAATAAATTTCTTCTTAGTATCTTTTAGTGCTCTTTAAGGGGTGATCTCTTTATCCTTTATTTATATAATTAGGTGTAGGCCTTTTCTATTATTCTCACCTTCTCACCTTATCTTATAATTAATTAGATGACTACTATGAATAGTCTATTAAAGTTAATACTATTCTGGGCGTTGGTGTCCCGCGGTCTAGGGTTAGTCTTTTAGTTATTTTTATTACTATAGTCATCTTTAGATATATTGTCGTCAGATGTTGTTTTCTTAGATGCCTTCTATTTAAAGATACTCTTTAAGGAGATTAATATTATCCTCTATTAGTCCCTTTATTATTAGGTTACTATCTTTATTAGGGGTTTTATTTCTTTTATTATGTCTTCTGCTAAGCCTTTTTAATTATATACTCTATAATAATATTATTATTAATATCTTTATTAACCTCTCCTCTCCTTATCCTTAAGTATTCCCCTAAATGCTCTATCGTCTATTATCTCTCTACTACTACTTACTCTTTCTTTATAATTATTAATAACTCTTTATAGAAGGGTAGTAGTAGTTTCTATTTTTCTAGGATTTTTCTTACTTTAATTAAATACTAAAGTATAATACCCTACTAGTGTAGTGCTTATTATATCATTATTAATATTTATAGTTAGCTTAGTTTATTCACCTTAGTGGCGATTAATTATTAACTATTAATTAGGTTTTACAGCACTTATCCGCCAGGTTCTTTAAGGGCGTATATACCTAGGAGGTGTGTTTTTAGCACCTTATATAGACTAAACCACTTACTCTCTAGCTTCTTTAGTGATTTATTCCTGACTAACACCTAGTCGCCTTTTTTAAAGCCTATTTTTATTACTAGGCTATTATATACTATCTTTATCTTTATTATATAGTTTAATAGCAGCTTATTTATTAATAATTAGATATAGTTAACCTACTAAAGCTGTTTCTCCGCCTCTATAAGGTTACTATTTGCCGGTCCCTTATTATTGTCGCCCAGGATATAGGGGTTAATACTATATAGGAGGTAGAAGGGGCTTTTTCCTATTACTATATAAGTCTATATACATGTAGTAAAGAGGGCCTATAGAAGGTATTTATCCTAGATCTTTATTAATTTCCCTATAATATACTTTATAAGTATTTAACCTAGGAGGCCGTTAAGGTTCTTAACCTTATTATTTATTTATAAGTGATATAGTATTGTCATCTAGTATCTTATTTATAGGATCTTTAGATAGTGTTAGACTACTACTATAAGTAAGTTAGGTCCATTATCTAATAAGAGCTCATAAGGGGCGCTATAATTTATAAAGACTTTATTATATAGAAATTTAGTGATTACCTTTATTATATCTTCTAGGACTATATAGGCCACTAACTAACCTATTATATACTTAATTATTATAATAATCTATTAATTATTATTAGGAGTTAATAGTAGGGGCCTAATTAGGTTAATAGCTCACCTCTTAAATAGTAGGGCTATTACTAGTAGGTTAAGGCGTCTATATTAGAGGTCCTCCTATAAGCCTTATAATACCTAATATATAAGGTAGTCTTAAATATATTATTTAATCTTAGCCTATATCGTCGGCCATCATCCTTAGGGCTAAATAATACCTATAAGTCCTAGGTGTCTAAGATATCTAAATTTATTATATATTTGCTTAACAAAGTCTGTGCAAAAAGGAACTAAAAGATATAGCACTTTATAGTTGTTATAAATATACTTTAGCTTATTATTATTCTCTTCTACTAGGTAGAAGTTAGGAGTTATCTTTTTAATTATATATTAAAGACCCTGGTGCGCGGGTGCTTCACTTATTACTAGATATCTTACTATACCTTTTAGCTACTCCTCCTTTAAGTGGCCTTAAAGTGCTAATAGAGAGGCCATAAATATTTATTGCCACTCTTATTAGACTATGTCTTCCACCTTATCCCTAGGCCTATCTTTAATAAAGTTAGGTTAGCGACTAATAGTATTAAGGATAATCACTTTAGTCTCTTTTTAGTAGTAAATCTTTAGATTATATTTACTAAACTCATCAATCTATTATATAAGTCTTTTAGAGTATGTCTTTATTATTAATAAATACTATAAGCTCTTATAATCTATAATAATAGTTATAATAATACTATTTTTAATATAGTAATCCTAAATTTATAGCACCTCCTTTATCACTAGCAGCTCTTTCTCCTATATTAAGTAGTTTTACTCTATAGAAGATAACTTTTATTTATTAAATATAATAAGGTAGTTAGCGCCATCTTCTGCTATCTATAAAAAAACTATACTAATAGCCTATTTAGAGGCATCTATTTTAATGCGGAACTCCTTCTTATAATCTAGTAAATAAAGTATTAGGGCAGTTATTAGGGCTTCCTTTACTACTTAAAAGGCAGCCTCACATGATATAGTCTATATAATAGGTTAGAATTTCTTTATGCGCAATTTGGCGTCTAATTCCTTTAGTAGGTTATATAGGGGTATAGTGATATATATAAACCCCCATACAAATCATTAGTAGTAAGTAGCTAATCCTAGGAATTAGTGAACCTTATAGATATTTTAGGGCCTTAGCTAGTTTAATACTGCTTTAACCTTCTTAAGTATAGATAATATCTAGCCCCTTTTAATAATATATCTATAGAACTCTAATTTCTCTATGGCAAATTCGCATTTCAATGCTTTAGTATATAGTTAATGTTCTTTTAGGGTAGTGAGGACTAGGTTGAGGTGTCAGCAGTGCTCATTAATATTCTTAAAGAAGATAAGGATATTATTAAGATATATCACCATAAAGCAGCTAATATACTTCCTTAAGATATAATTTATTATTATCTAGAATATTGCTAGTGTATTGCAGAGACTAAATAGTATAGCTAAGAATTTAAATTTATTAAATACTATATTAAATACTATTTTTTTAACTAAGTCATCTCTCATCTATACCTACTAATATCCTAATAGGAGATTAATCTTTAATATTACCTAGCTCCTACTTACTATATCTAGCAACTCCTAGATTTGGGGCAATAAGTAGCCATTCTTAACTATTAAATTATTTAGCGCTTAATAGTTAATATATATTTGCCACTCTTCTATTACTTTTTAGATAAATACCACTAAGAAGCCCTAGGGACTAGTGGAGGGTTAAATAAGCCCCTTCTACTCTAGGTCCTCTAGTTATTAAATCAGCTCCTTAAGCTTTTCTTATAAGAGGGAGAAAGGGCTAATATTAATAGGCGTGGCGTCACCTATATTAATATTATATATAATATCTTATTTAGGCAGGAGGGCCGCCGTAAGTTCTTAATAAAAGATATTATACTTCTAGAGGACTATCTCTACCCTAGGATTTATATATAGCTTACGCCCGTCTGGGAGCTTAGTAGTTTATTAAAGAAAATAGAGAATACCTTTTAATTTCGCCTTGCGCAGCACGTGTAGCATATATTATACTAAGATTATATTAATATAGGATATAATCGCGACTTATTATTTAATATCCTTTAAGAGTATAGAGAACTATTTGCCTCAGTGGTCCTAGAGAATCATCCTTAATTCTAACTATTTAATAATAGGGTTAGTAGCTTTTAGCCATATCTATCCTAAGATAACATTATATTTAAGGTTATTAATAACCTAGGTGGGGGTTATTCTCATCTATCTGCTGAGGCGTAGCAGGAGGTATACTTAGTATATAGCTAAGATATAATTACTATTTAGTAGCATTACATCTAGCTGAGTGCCCTTATTAATTTATTAGGGTAGGGCATAGGTGAGTTTTTAAAGTACCCTACTGCTCATGAAGTTATTAGAGGCTCTACTATTAATTATATATTTAACCTTTAATTTCCCCTATTCCCTAATACTAATCTCCCCTCTAAAGATTAGTAGCCCTCCGCCTAGCGCATTTATTTATGTCAATATTATTTAGGTTGTTAGTTTGTGCTTCCTTTTTCATATTTTTCGCCATGGTTTTAATGAGGGCGCAAAGCTTATTATTGACAGAGCTCTATAAATACCTCTATTATTCACGCGCCTCACTATTAAGTTTCTATTTTGCCACTAGGACCTTCTCTCTATTAGTGGTGAACTTCTTACATAAGACTTCTTTATCTTAAAAGTATTTATCTACTTACTACAGCCATTTTCAGGCGCCCTCATCTTAGTATTTGCCTATATATTTAGGGATCTAGTTAAGTTCTAAGATCTTTTAGTAGGGGCGTCTATCTTAGTTATTAAGATTATTAGTTGACTCCTAATGGCTAGTTTCTCTAGTGGCTATTTAGGTATTATTTTAGGGACCCAGCTGCCCAGTGGTCGCTTAGTAGAGGTTATCCTAGAGTTAAGCCACCTACACGCGGGTAGTCTTAAGTTCCTAGACTAGGTGGTTTACTTAACCTTTTTTGCCTTAGAGCACTTACTCTAGGCGTCTAAAAAGAGAGTAAACATCTATTCTATTTATTCTAGTAGTTATAATCGCCAAGAGGATTTTAAACACCTTAGGCGACAGGTGGTTCTACATATTATTAATAAGGTTTATTATTAACTTATAGTAGAAGATTAAGTCTTTTATTTACTTAGTTTCTTTAATAAAGATACTTAATGATTCTTCTTTCTTTACTTAAGAGGTCTTTTGTCCCTTTTATCCTGCTTTTAAATCCTATTAATCCTTAGATATTGTCTGCGGAGTGGTAGTCTGTCAGGGTTAGTATAGGGGCTAACCCTTAATATAATATACTACTAGATGTGATATTTAAAAGCTAACAGTCTCTTAGAAATCTCTGTTCTATCGCTACTATAGGTTAGAGAGAAGGTATCTATATACCTCCCCTTAGCTCATTAAAAGCTGAGTGACCCAGTGACGATAGAACTCTATAGAATTAATTAATCCCTAATATGGAGCGAAAACTCTATATAACTGCTCTACCAGGGTTAGGAGATTTCGCGTCGTCAGTGAGCGGGCACCTTGGTGTTCCGCCGGGGTGATCCCGCTCATGGCTGCGCGGGAGTTCGCGATATCGCTCGCTCGCGATATCACACTACCATAGGTTAGAGGGAAGGTATCTATATACCTCCTCTTAGCTTATTAAAAGCTAAGCGACCTAGTAGCAATAAAACTCTATAGAATTAATTAATCCCTAGTATAGAGTAAAAACTCTATATAACTACTCTACTAGGGTTAAGAGATCTTATATTATTAGTGAGCAGGCACCTTAGTATTCTACTAAGGTAATCCTACTTATAGCCGCATAAGAGTTTATAATATTACTTACTTATAATATTATATTCTCTCTTACTTAACTAGAACTTTATCTATAAAGTCTTAATCCTCTCTCTAGGGCCTTATTAAGATAAATTAGTTATTAATAGGCGACTTATAGATCTTATTTAATAAGAGCCTATAATTAGTAAATAAAGACTTATTCTTTAATTACTTTATTAATTACTTACTAATTAATAGAGGGTCACCTAGTCCTAGGTGAGAGCATAAGATATACTTATAATTATTATTATTAAGTAACCTTATAACCTCTTTATTTATAATAAAGGATATATCCTTTTATTTATCTATTAGTAATTCCTCCTTTACTCTCTCTCTTACTATTATTACTCCTTATAACTATCTTATACTAATAACTTCTAATAATAAATTTAAGGACTCTAAGTCCTCTATCTAGTATTCTTATTATAGGTCTAATTATTTTTATTAATTATTAAAGACTAAGTATCTAGTGCCTCCTAAGACTTCTTTACTGTCTACTAAGGAGTCTCCCTCTTAGCCTTTATTAGGCTCTTATTATTTAAAATAGGTTACTAGTTATAGTAGTCTGGCGCCTATCACTTATTATAAGTTTATTAATCTAAAGAGTAAGATATAACTAATAATAATAAAAACTAAACTTCCCTTAGAGGCATATATAACCTCCTTTAATAATTATAAGCTTATTTATTTATTCCTTACTATTTATATATATTAAGACTTCTTCTAGGGTAGCTAAATATTAGTTTTAAGCTATATATTAAAGCTCTTTACCACTATTATTTTTAAGTAGGGATCTATAGCAACTGACTCTTACTTAAAATATGCCTATAGTAATAGTCCCTAGACTACCTATATTACACCTCCTATTAAGAAGCTTAATAAAGATAAGTATTAGGTTTATTATACTAAAGTATATATAAACTATCTCTTTTATAATAAGGGTGCTAATTATAACTTATATTTATTTCTTCTAGATCTTTTTATTGCTAGTCACTAATATATTATAAATATTAACTATAATAATAATAAAGAGTAGGGGAAGAAGGATAAGTATAAGAAGTAGTAAAAGAAAAAGGAGGTTAAGAAGAAGAGGACTTTATTACTTACTACTTTTATTACTCTTATTACTCTTACTACTCTTACTACTAATCTAGTATTAACTATTATACTTTCTACTATCCTTTTAGCCTTATTAAATCTATTATCTACTACTAGTGCTAGTACTACTTTAGCTAGCTTATAATTAAGTACTCTTATTATTCTAGCTATAGAGGGGGCTTAGTTAATTCCTTATTAAACTATTTTAGATTCTACTCCCCTAAAGGTATTGCTTTAGCATTTAACTATTTCCTATAAAAATATAACACATTGTTTTAGGGAGTTTCTAGTTTATTATTTTAACTTTATGGGTTAGAAGGTTAGGGAGGCTATAAATACTTATTAAAAAAGTTTAATTAATAATTTCTTCTAATTTATTAATTATAATAATACCCCCCTTATTATTTTATTCCCTTTATTAAATACTAATATTAATAATTTACTAAAGATTTATTAGGCTATTATTAATATATATTAGTGAGTGGCCACCCTTAAGGCTTATAAAGGCATATTAATTACTGCCACTACTACTATAAAGGAAGAGGAGAAGGAGGATCTATAAAAAGAGTATCTTTTATATATAAAAAAATATTATTATAAAAAGTAATTAGTATTTATATCTTAAGGTATTATTATTAGCTCTTTATAGTTAGTCTTTTTTTTTTAATAAACTTTATAATAAATTTCTTCTTAGTATCTTTTAGTACTCTTTAAGGGGTAATCTCTTTACCTCTTATTTATATAATTAGGTATAGGCTTTTCTCTTTTTTATTTTTTACCTTCTTATCTTATCTTATAATTATTTAGATAACTATTATAAATAGTCTATTAAAGTTAATACTATTCTAGGCATTAGCATCCTATAATTTAGGGTTAGTCTTTTAGTTATTATTATTACTATAGTTATCTTTAGATATATTATTATTAGATATTATTTTTTTAGGTGCCTCCTATTTAAAGGTGCTTTCTAAGGAGATTAATATCTTTCTTTATTAGTCCCTTTATTATTAGGTTGTCATCTTTATTAAGGGGTTTTACTTCTTTTATTATACCTTTTATTAAGCTTTTTTAATTATATACTTTATAATAGTACTATTATTAGTATCCTTATTAACTTCTCCCCCCCTTATTTTTAAGTATTTCTTTAAGTGCTCTATTGTCTATTATCTCTCTGCCACTTCCTATTCTTTCTTTATTATTATTAATAGCTCTTTATAAAAGAGTAGTAGTAGTTCTTATTTTTTTAGGATTTTCCTTATTTTAACTAGATATTATAGTATAATACCCTATTAGTATAGCGCCTATTACATCGCTACTAATATCTATAGTTAGTTTAGTTTATTTATCTTAGTAGTGATTAATTATTAATTATTAATTAAGTTCTATAGTACTTATCCGCCAGGTTCCCTAAGGGTATATATACCTAGGGGGTGCACCTTTAGTACCCTATATAGATTAAACCACTTACTCTCTAGCTTTTTTAATAATTTATTCCTAATTAGTACTTAGTTATCTTTTTTAAAGTCTATTTTCACTACTAGGCTGTCGTGCACTATCTTTATTTTTATTATATAATTTAATAGCAGCTTATTTATTAGTAATTAAGTATAGTTAATATATTAGAGTTGTTCCTCTACCTCTATAAGGTTATTATTTACTAATCCCTTATTATTATCACTCAGGATGTGGGGGTTAACGCCATATAGAAGGTAAAAGGGGCTTTTTCCTATTACTATATAGGTTTATATATATATAGTAAAAAGGGCCTATAGAAGGTATTTATCCTAAATCTTTATTAGTTTTTTTATAATATATTTTATAAGTATTTAGCCTAGGAGGCCATTAAGGTTCTTAACCTTACTATTTATCTATAAGTGATATAGTGTTATTATCTAGTGCCTTATTTATAGGATCTTTAAATAGTATTAAACCACTATTACTAGTAAGTTTAATTTATTATCTAATAGGAGTTTATAAGGGGTGCTATAATTTATAAAGATTTTATTATATAAGAATTTAATAATTACCTTTATTATATCTTCTAGGACTGCGCGGGCCACTGGCTAATCTATTATATATTTAATTACTATAATAATTTATTAATTATTATTAGGAGTTAGTGGTAGGGGTCTAATTAGGTTAATAGCTCATCTTTTAAATAGTAGAGCTATTATTAATAGGCTAAGGTGTCTATATTAGAGGTCCTCCTATAAGCCTTATAATATCTAATATATAGGGCAGTCTTAGACGCGTTATTTAATATTAGCTTATATTATTAGTTACTATCCTTAAGGCTAAATAATACCTATAAGTCCTAGGTGTCTAAGATATCTAAATTTATTATATATTTATCTAATAAAGTTAGTGTGAAAAGAGACTAGGAGATATAGCACTTTATAGTTATTATAGATATACTTTAGCTTATTATTATTCTCTTTTATTAGGCAGAAGTTAAGAGCTATCTTTTTAATTATATATTAAAGACCCTAGTGCGCAGGTGCTTTATCTATTACTAGATATATTATTATACTTTTTAGCTACTTCTTCTCTAAGTGGCCTTAAAGTACTAATAGGGAGGCTATAAATATTTATTACTATTTTTATTAAATTATGTCCTCCACCCTATCCCTAGGCCTGTCTTTAATAAAGTTAAGTTAGTGGCTAATAATATTAAGGATAATTACTTTAATCCCTTTTTAGTAGTAAATCTTTAGACTATATCTACTAAACTTATTAATCTACTATATAAGTCTTTTAGAGTATATCTTTATTATTAATAAATATTATAAGCTCTTATAATCTATAATAATAGTTATAGTAGTACTATTTTTAATATAGTGGTCTTAAGTTTATAGCACCTCTTTTATTATAAGTAGCTCTTTCTCTTATATTAAGTAGTTTTACTCTACTAGAGATAGCTTTTATCTATTAAATATAATAAGATAGTTAATACTATCTTCTACTATTTATAGAAGAACTATACTAATAGCCCACTTAAAGGTATCTATTTTAATATAGAACTTCTTCTTATAATCTAGTAGATAAAGTACTAGAGTAGTTACTAGGGCTTTCTTTACTACTTAAAAGGCAGCCTTATATAATATAATCTATATAATAGGTTAAAACTTTTTTATACATAATTTAGTATCTAATTCCTTTAGTAGGTTATATAGGGGCGCAGTAATATATATAAACCCCTATATAAATTATTAATAATAAGTGGCTAATCCTAGAAATTAGTAAACCTTATAGATATTCTAGGGCCTTAGCTAGTTTAATACTACTTTAACTTTCTTAGGCATAGGTGATATCTAGCCTCTTTTAATAATATGCCTATAGAACTCTAGTTTCTCTATAATAAACTTATATTTTAACGCCTTAGTATATAGTTAATACTCTTTTAGGGTAGTAAGGACTAGATTAAGGTATTAGTAGTGCTTATTAATATTCTTAAAGAAGATAAAGATATTATTAAGATATATCACTATAAAGTAGCTAATATACTTCCTTAAGATATAATTTATTATTATCTAGAATATTACTAGTGCATTATAGAGACTAAATAGTATAGCTAAGAATTTAAATTTATTAAATATTATATTAAATACTATTTTCTTAATTAAGCTGCTCTCTATTTATACTTATTAATATCCTAATAGGAGGTTAATCTTTAACATTACCTAGCTTCTACTTAATATATCTAATAACTCTTAGATCTAGGGTAGTGGGTAGCTATTCTTAACTATTAAATTATTTAGCACCTAATAGTTAATATATATTTACTATTCCTTTATTATTTTATAGATAAATATCACTAGAAAGCCCTAGGGGCTAGTAGAGGGTTAAATAAGCCCCTTTTACTCTAGGTCCTCTAGTTATTAAATTAGTTCTTTAAGTTTTTCTTATAAGAGAGAGAAAGGGCTAATATTAATAAGTATAATATTACCTATATTAATATTATATATAATATCTTACTTGGGTGAGAGGGCCACTATAAGTTCTTAATAAAAGATATTATATTTCTAGAGGACTATCTTTATCTTAAGGTTTATATATAGCTTATGCCTATTTATGAGCTTAGTAGTTTATTAGAGGAAATAAAGGATATCTTTTAAGTTTACCTTATATAGTATATATAGTATATATTATGCTAAGATTATATTAATATATAGTATAATTATAACTTATTATTTAATATTCTTTAAAAGTATAGAGAACTATTTACCCTAGTGGTCCTAGAGGACTATCCTTAATTCTAATTATTTAATAATAGGGTTAGTAGCCTTTAGCTATATCTATCCTAAGATAATATTATATTTAAGGTTATTAATAATTTAAGTAGGGGTTATTCTTATCTATCTGCTGAGATATAGTAGAAGATATACTTAGTATATAATTAAGATATAATTACTATTTAATAGTATTATATCTAGCTATATACCTTTATTACTTTATTAAGGTAAGATATAAGTGAGTTTTTAAAGTACCCTACTACTTATAAAGTTATTAAATATTTTATTATTAATTATATATTTAACTTTCCTCTTCTCTTATTCTTCTATATTAATTTCTCCTTTAAAAATTAGTAGCCCTCTACTTAGGGCATTAATTTATGCTGGCATTATTTAGGTTTTTAGTTTTTATTTTCTTTATAGGGGTAGTACCCCTTAAGGGTCTAGGGCATTAAGGAGATTAATATTAGAGATTATAGAAGCCTTAAGTATTTATGCTGCTAATACTTCTAATTTTAGTGATTAACTTTATTTCCCTCCCTTAGGGCCTTTATTATAAAGGTGATTATTAGGACTTTACTTAGTTAATAATCCTTTATATAATATCTAGGTTTCTTATATATAAAGCAGAGCCCCTTTATGCAGGTGAGAGATTATTAAGGGTGTAGAATATATTAGTTTATAGGGGTAGGCCCCTTAGGTAAGGTATATAATTATCCTAGAGTATTAATATCTATAGTATTTAATATTTTTATTAGCCTATAAATATATTGTGTGGCGACAGCTCCTTTTTTATAGAGAGTAAATTTTATAATAACCCTAGTTAAGGTAGTTAATTTATTAGATTTATATACTTATTACCCTTAGAGTTATTTTTAGCTGCCCATAATAAATTATTAGATAAGTATATTTTTTATTAATAGAGGGTTAATCTAGTTTATAACCTCTACTAGTTTATGGGCATATACCTAAATAGGTTATTTTCTCTAGATAAGGTTCTTATATACCTCTTAATAGTATTCCTCACTAAGGTGTTTAGTATAGTTATTAGTAATCTATTTCTTAAATTCTATTATAGTCTTAATAGGGGTATAGAGCTTATTATTAATAGAGCTCTATAAATATCTCTATTACTTATATATCTTATTATTAAGCTTTTATTTTGCTATTAGGACCTTCTCTCTATTAGTTATAAATTTCCTATATAGGACTTCTTTATCCTAGAAGTATTTATCTACTTACTACAGCTATTTTTAGGTGCCCTCATCTTAATACTTACCTATATATTTAGGGATCTAGTTAAGTTTTAAGATCTTTTAGTAGAGGTGTCTACCTTAGTTAGTAAGATTATTAGTTAACTCTTAATAGCTAATTTTAATAGTGGCTACTTAGGGGTTACTCTAGGGGCCTAGCTATCTAGTGGTCACTTAATAGAGGTTATCTTAGAGCTAGGCCACCTATGCATAGGTAGTCTTTAGTTTCTAGACTAGATAATTTACCTAGCCTCTTTTACCTTAAAGCACTTACTTTAGGTGTCCTAGAAGAAGGTGAATATCTATTTTATCTACTCTAGTAGTTATAATTATTAAGAGAATTTTAAACACCTTAGGTAATAGGTGGTTCTGCACATTATTAATAAGGTTTATTATTAACTTATAGTAGAAGATTAAGTCTTTTATTTACTTAGTTCCTTTAGTAAAGATGCTTAATAATTTTCTTTCTTTACTTAAGGGATCTTTTGTCCTTTTTATCTGGCTTTTAAATCTTATTAATCCTTAGATATTATCTATAGTATGGCAGTCTATTAGGGTTAGTATAGGGGCTAACCCCTAATATAATATGCTACTAGATATAATATTTAAAAGCTAAATCCTCTAGAAAATCTCTATTCTATTACTACTATAGGTTAGAGGGAAGGTATCTATATACCTCCCCTTAGCTTATTAAAAGCTAAGCAACCTAGTGATAATAAAACTTTATAAAATTAATTAATCCCTAGTATAGAGTAAAAACTCTATATAACTGCTCCACTAGGGTTAGGAGATCTTATATTATTAGTGAGTAGACACCTTGGTGTTCCGCTGAGGTGATCCTGCTTATAGCCGCGCAGGAGTTTACAATATCACTCGCTTATGATATCACACTACTATTAATAGTATAAAAGCCTTTTAAGATAATATAGTTACTTTAATATTAAATAGTAATAAGATATTAAAATTAAATATTATATAACCTTATATAACCTCTTCTTTAGGTCTTTTATTAAATAAATAATCTATATAGGGCCACTAAAGTAATATAGATATTATAAAGGAGATATTTCTTACTTAATAAAAGGCCTTATTTTAATTAGCTTAATACTAATATTATCTAAAGACTCTTTATATACTATTTATTAACTTATTTAAGATATTTATTAAATATTAGGTATTAATTAAGGGTGATTCTAAGGAGTTTAGTAGATTTACTTAATATATTTTTTATCTATTCTTTAGGTCTAAGGCTAGGGCTATTATATTTAGTAGACTAGAGAGGGGTTTAATACTTATATTATTTTAAAGAGTTTATTAAGATCTCTCTATTTAAGGGTCTATAGGGCCTAGAGGCCATTATATTAGCTTTAGCTATATATCTAGTCTATAGTAGTAAATTAATATAAATTTCTTTAAGGTAAAGACTAATATATACTAGGTAGACTATTATATATATATATCTTTAAAATTTAAAGCTAGAAGTTAATAGTTCTCCTTTATTAATTCCTTTATAATAATAATTATTATATTATTTATATATTTAATATAGGTAGTGGCGTGTCTGACAGCCTTAATAAGATCTATATTATAGAATAAATATAGAATAGATAAGAAAGGTGATCCTTATAGGATGCTAATCTTAACCCTATCCTTAAGTATACTATATTTAGGTATCTCTAAGGTTATATACTACTTATCTAGGAAGGACTATATCTAGTTAATAATATCTACTAGGATATATTATTTATGTAGGTTATATAGGAGCCTAGTATAGGATACATTATTAAACACCCTAGAGATGTTAAGGTAGAGGGCTGAGGCCACCTTACCCTCCTTCCATGCTGTTTCTACTAATAATTATATTATTAATAAGCTTACTTAGTATTATCTTAAGTATTTTCTAATTTAGCTATCTTATTAGTATATTATTAATAATATTAATTATATAAGTAATAGCTTTAGGCTATAATAGTTATAGAAGATATCCCTTATATAATAAATATTATAATCTTATAGTAATTATACCCTTAACTTATTTAATATTAAGATTTTACTTTAATATTATAAATATAATCTATTTAAATATTATATTTAATATAACTATATCTATAAAGTCTTTATAAAGAGAGGTCTTATAGTCTATATAATAAGCCTTTATCTACTTATTAAATTAATATATTACTTTATTTTTAAATATTTAAATAGTTATTTAAATATTTATCTTATTAATAATATATCTTATCTAGTAGAATTAAGTTATATTATTAATAAAGTATATAATTTATTTTTTTCCTTAATATTTAGTTATTATTTATATTATATTAAATAATACTTAGTTAAATAGCTTTACCACATATATATAGGGTTAGTATAATATTTATTAATTTAATACTAATAAATAATATTTATAATATTTAGTATTTATTAGTTTATAGGCTTTATTAGTAATAATTATATTATTAACCTATATCTTTAGATATTAAATAGTATTATATTTAATATAACCTAAGTATTAGTACTAGGTCTTTATAGTCTCTTTTACTATTAAGGGTTTTTTTTAAATATATTATTTCTATTATTTAAGGCTCCTATTAAGCTATTATTATTATAAATATTAATATCTTATTAAATTTAAGTATATATAAAGAGTATTTCTTAATTATTATATAAATATTAATATATTCTTTATATAGTACTTCTTCCTCTTAATCTTATATAATGCTATTCTTTTTAAGTAGATTTATAGATATAAAATTAATATAAAATTAAGGTAAATATATAATATCTTTAAGTAGTATACTTATTATCTTACTATTAGTTATATAGAATTTAATAATAATACTCTTAACTTTATAATAAGTGCTCTTACTCTCTTTAATATATATTATAAGATTTAAGAATATAAAGAATATAAATTAATTATATTAATTATAACTATAAGTATCTATTATTAAGTCTAAAATAAAGCTATCTTATAGAGGATAATTCCCCTTTATATTATTTAATATTATTAGTATTATCTTTAAGTTTAATAAGATATTTTTAGGGTATTAATAGGCTACTATATTAATATTTTTATTTTATATTATAAGATTTAACTTTTTATATTTCTTCTTTATTTTTTTATATATTCTTATTATAGCCTTATAAAGCACTAGTTTCTTTTCTTTAATAATATTAAATTACTTTATTATTTCTATATCTAGTGCCTAACTATTAAGATAAATTTATTTATTAATATAATAGTATTCTTTAAATTAATATCTTTTTTTATAAATATAATATAGTAATATCTTTTTTAATAATATTATTTTTAATCTATCCTTATTATAGTCCTTAAATAATATAAATATATTTATATTATTACTTTAAGAGATTTATAGTCCTTATTATTCTCTAAAGTTAATTAATATATCTAGTATTAATATCTTTAATAAATATTTAACTATTTAGTTTTATTAAATTAAGTATATTATTATATTTATATATTTATAATAAAATAGATTAATTTATTTAAGTAATTAGTATATTACTTATTTTATATTTATAATAATATTAATCTTAAAATTATAATATTTAAGATAAAGTATCTCTTAATATATAAGCTATTTATTAAAGCTTTCTTTATTAATTATTTCTAGCTAGATATAATCTTATTTATAGTTTAGTTATATTATTTAAGTGCTATTATTAAGTATATATCTTATTTATAGCTACTTTAGCATCTTTTATAAAGTCTTAATTATATTAATTAAATTCTATAAGTATTTATTAATTATTTCTATAATTTAATTATAGAGCCTAGTAATTACACCTTACTTCTTTTAATATAATTTTATATTATTATAATAGTAATTAATTATATATTTATATAGGGCTTACTTTATTATAATAAGTTTCTCTAGTATTATTATACTTTACTAATAGAATATAGATATTAAAGCTTATAGCTCCTTTAATATATCTTTATATTTTAGATTTATATATTTCTATATAAATAAGGATTATATATATTTTAATATAGTTATATACTATAGAGGCTAATTATCCTTATCTTCTAGAATAATCTTATTAATATTAGAGGTTATATTTATAGGTGGTCTATTAAAGTAATATAATTATTTATAGTACTTAATATTATTAATAGATTAACTTATTATCTAATAAATTAGTATAAATAAGTTATATTAATTAAATATAATTAGGCTTATAACTTTTAGCTAAATAATATAAGGATTCTCCCTATATAGAGCTAATAATAAGATAATATTAAACTAACTAACTAGATAACTTTTAGGGATAAATATTATCTATAATATATAAGTATATAGTAGGGTTAGGCCCT